TTAAAAATTTAGATATATATATATAAATATATATATATTTATATATTTATAAATTAATATATTTATATATTTATATATTTATATATTTATTATTTTTTTTAAAAAAAATTAACAGTTACAACCTATTAATTATAAATTAGATTATAAAAAAATTTATAATCTTCTTATTAAGCATTTATATAATTTTTTTAATATCTAATCCATTTTATTTATTTTGAATTCCTAAAATATAGCATTAGTATATAAATTATCACATTTTCTTATAAAAATAAATTTCATATGATATTAACACAACCTATAAAAACAAATATTAAATTTTTCCTATTACTGTAATATTTCTAGCAATTTTCTAATAAATTTATTAAAATACAATTTAAACATGTACCTATTTAATTTATTAATAATATTATGTTTTTTACTAATAGTTTCTTAATTAAAATCATTTTTTTAAAATTTTATAATCTTATAGAACAATTTTATTTACTTTAAAGCAGATTTTACTTCAAAAAATCTTAGTCGTTTTTTGTTTATTTTTCTTTTATTGTATATTAGTCTTTAATTTCTTTCCAATGATACTGCAAATATTAAACTATAGTGAACGATTTATTTATTAATAAATTTCTTTTTCCCTTTTACAAATTTTTTTACTATAATTACAAAATAATTTAAACTATAATTAAATACTCCAATAATGAATAAAGCACTTAAAATATATTAAATAATTTCATTTTAATATATACATATTGTTTATTAGCATGGTTTTTTTTATTTTTTGTATAATTTTTTAAAAAAAACAAAAAAGGTTATAATATATTTATTTTCACTTTTTTTTTTTTGAAGATTGTGATTTGGAAAAAAACCTTTCATTCGATTATTTTTTTATTGAATTCCATAGTAACTATAGTGATATAATAGGCTTTAATTAATTTTTATACCATTTATTTTGATGGATTTATTAGAAATTTTAGCAAAATTTTATAATTAATATATTTATTTGATAAAAAGTCATAGACAGGCTGCCATATGTGCTAAGAAAAGTATATTCATCAATAATTTTAGGAATTATATTATATTTATATTATTGAGCATAAATTAAATTTTCTTTGAATTTTTATAATGTATTATTTTAATTAAGAAAATAGAAAAAATTATTTATAATTAGTTTTTCGGATTATTTTAAACAATTAAAAATTATAGAAAAACTCATAGTAATAGTTTTTTCGTAAATAATTTAATATTAGTAGTTTAATTAATTATATAATAATTCTATATTATATATTTAGGTATTGAAATTAATAAAAACCTAAAAAATTATCAAATAATGATTATTTTTCATAGAAACATGCTCAAAAGATATAAATATATTACAAAAAGTAATAAAAATAGAAATAGAAATATAAATATAAAAAAAAATTAAATAAAAAATAAAATAATATATAAAATTATATATTAAATAAAATCCTTTATTATATAAAATTCATAAGATAAAAAAAAACTTATAAATATATTATATTTATAAAATTAAAAGATTTCAATTATATTTTTTTAAAATAAAAAGAAATAACAATTAATATATATTTTCCTATTAATATTTATTTGTTCTTAATAAATTTATTAAACAAATATACTATTTATATCACTTTATTATTTGATATTGGAGTTTTTCGCTTTATTAAAAAAATATACTACGAATCTTTTGTATTTAGATGATTTTTTAAAGAAAATAGAGTTTTAGCTTTATAAAATACATGCTAATTTCCTTAATATTTGTGTAAACCTTAAATATTTACTATAAAAAAATTAATATTGTTAACTAATATAAAAGTATCTATATCCATTAAATTAATTAAAACAATTTTGGTTAAATTATAAAACATAATTAAAAAAATAACTTAATAGTATTTTAATTTAAAAATAAATGCATTAGTATAAATTAATTTATAAATTTAATTAAAAAATTTGGTAAATATAATCTATACAGTAAATATTTAATTTTTATTTCAAAAATTTGTTATAAAACATATATATGTATATATTCAATATTTTTTAATTATTAACGATAATAAAATATTTATTTATATTTCTTAATATAAGCATAGATAAAATGCATAATATAGTCTATTTGTAATTATGATTTTAATTAAATAAAAGCTATAATACAGTTTATTTATAAAATATAAAAAATTTGACACTCAAGATATTATTAGATAAAATTTATAATTCGTATTTGCATAATTTTTTTATATATAAATTAATATAAAAAAAATAAAGAAAAAAAAAATAATATTTTGTCAAAATGTTAATTGACATAAATTATATATATTTTATAAATTACTTTAAAATATATCTAATATTTTTTTTATTAATTAAAAATAAAATGTTTTATATTTTTAATAATAGCAAAATTTTAGTATATATTATTTATTCATAAATTTTCTTATTATTCTATTATATTTTTTAAAAACTTAATCAAAAAAAAATGGCCAGAAAAAATGGATAATGTCTTTTTTTTTTTTTGATTGAAGTTTTTTAAAAAAATCACAGAATAAATAAAAAAATTAATAAACAAAAAATATTATGTTTTAAATGTAATTTATAAAACAGTAAAAAAAATTATTGAATATTTAATAATAATATATTATTATATATATTTATGATTTCTAATTACTATTTATATTCATTATATATCTATATCTATTTTATTTCTCTATATATTTTCAATAATTATTATTTCTTAATCATCTTCTTAATAAGAAATATTTTCATCTTATGAATTTTCTTAAAATTGATATATATTTTATTTACAAATTATTGCGTTTTCGCATACAAATTTCAAAAAGTTTTAAGCTTATGATATTTCAGGAATTTATTTATATAATACCAAACTATTATTATTTACACTTATTTAAAAAAATAAATAAAAAAAAATTACTAAAAATAAAAATTTACTTATTATTTATTTCCTATTATTATAAAATTTAAATTAGATTCCAAGAATAATGCTTTAATGCATTTAAATTTTTACTATTAAATATCAATTTATGCTAAATTATTTATCTTATTTTAATAAATATATTTTATAAAAATATATTTTCTTTTTTTTACTTTTTTATTGCTTTTGTTTTCTTTGGGATTGGTCTTTATGATTCAATATCGATTTTTTCTTTATTTTTATATATATTTGAATTATTCTCATATTCTGAATTTTCTTCATCTACATCAGTTAAACTTAATTAACTAAATTATTCAATGAGATTACTTTTATATTATTTATAATCTATATCATTATTTTCATATTCTTCATCGTTTCTTTAATATTTATCTTATCTTAATTTATATAAAAATTTTCTTTTAATATTTTAAGAAAACATTTATTTTAAGAATTGTTTTTTTTAAAATATAAAAATATATTATTTAAAATAAAAAAGTTAATATAAATAATATAAAATTAATAGAAAATAAAAATTATATTTTTTTTAAAAAAAGATAAAAAATTTAATAGAAAATTATTTATATATATTGTATTTTTTATAATTTTGTATTTATCTGATTCATATTTTCGACATTAGTCCAAAACGAATAATTTAAATAAATAATAGATTAATATATTTTTTTTAAAAAAATTTGTTCATTTTATATACTAAGCTTAATTAATACCTCAATGCAAATTCTTTAAAATTATAAATAATATTATATTAAAATTATCTTAATTTATTTTTATAATACATTGTCATAATAAAATTTATTCTCTTCAAATATTTTTTTTATAGCATATTAGAAATTAGTTACATGATAATCAATAGCATCATTTTATTTATTTTCTCTATATTTACTTAATAAGTAAAAAATATACTAAAAATACAATAATAATAAAAAAAATACTTCACAAAAACAGTTTTCCATCCCAATTCTTTGGCCTAAATCAAATCCATATTTATATTATCTCCTATCATATACACTTCACCTGGTACAAACTTATTTTAATCAATTTATTAGATCGCATAATTGTCTTAAAAATAAAAATATAATAAAAAACACACATAAAAATAATTTTTCATAAATATATAAATTATTTAATAAAAAAAAATATTTAAATTCTTTTAAATATATATGTACATTACATGCTAATTAAAAAGATTGTTTAAAAGGTTTTCCGAAAAACTGAATATTTTAGCTTGGAAATTTCTATTTATATAGTTCCTCATATAATTTTAATAAAACACTACAAAAAGCCCCTGAAGTTATCTTCGGTTACCCAAATCTAAAATAATGAGTTATATTTGTATTAAAATATATAGGAATTGTTTCCTAAGGCATTTTTTCGGGTATTTTATATGCTATTTTTCCATTATTAGTCGTCAATAAATCACAAATAATTTAAACTCCTTCTTCCCATTTAAAAAAATCACTCAAAATAAAAATAGCATTAATTTAAATAGGTTCATTAAAATTATAATCATTCAAAAAAGGAATTCTTTTTAAAATATGATTTTTTGTTTCTTCTATATTATGTGGATTTCTTGCCGAAATGGGTACTAAAAAGGGATATAATGAAGTATATTCTTCCAAAGTAATATAATATTTAATATTAGAATCAACTAATTATTAATTAACCTCTTATTTTCCCAAAACTAAATAAATGAAAAAAATGAAAAAAAGAGATATTAAAAAAAAATGTTCTTACTTTTTATTTACTTAAAACAATTTATTCTTAATATTTCTAAAGATAAGGTTTAATAGTAGTGTAATTCATAACCAAGTTTTATATTCCCATTTGATTATTTGAGTTTAATTTCAAGCTTTTATTTATATATTCAATTCTGGATTTTTCTAATTGATTATTTGATTAATTATTCGTAAATAAAACAAAAGGCAATTTTTAAAAGGCCTCATTTTAGTATTTTTATGGGCATATTTTAACTAATGGTTATCTCATATTTAATATCGGACCTCGTGTTTAAGGAAGGAACAATTAATCGTTCATAATTACTCCATCTATGTCCGATATTACTATAGGAAGCTTTTACTTCTTTCGGAAGGAATTTTTTAAAATATTCATTTTTATATATATATATATATGTATCTTTTGTAAATAATTATTTATTAATGTGCTTTTATTTAAATAGTTTAATTTATATAAACCAAAACTAATTCTTTTTTTATTTATTTATAAAATTTAATAATTTTATTTTAAATTATCTTTACTAATCTTATTGAATATTTATATACATTCATTATCTTTATTGATACAATAATTTTATAATTAATTGTTATTTTAAAAAAAAAAAACTTTTTTATACCAATAGTTTTAAAAAAATCTTATAATATATATATATTCATTTAACAAAAAACATAAAAAACAAATAAAAGTAACTTAATTTAATTCCTACATTAAATTGACAACATAATAATTTATTTTTATAAAAAGATCCAGCTCTATAGAGAAAAATCATCAAAGAAAGTTCCGAACACACATTTCATTTTTACGCCATTACAAATTGATTCACTAAAATCAAACATTAAAATTAGTTTCAAATGATATTAATTATAAAATATTAAAATCATTAGAGTTATTAATCTGCTCATTCCTCCTTATAATTATTTTGATTATTTAAATACATTAAAATTACTTTCCCATAAGATTAATTTATCAATATATTAAAATTTTAAGAAACACTATTATTATTTTCTTTTTTAATAGATGATATTAATTAATTAGTTTTTTTTGAAAATTTTTTATTGAATTTTACATTTAATTTTCAAATAAATCTATTTAAAAAATTGATATTATTATTTTACAATTAAATTATTTATTTTTAAGCATTTATAAATTATCAAAAATATGCATTATATAAATCTTCCAATTTTTAATTTAGTTTTTTAATAGAATCCTATTTTCTAAATAATCAAAACAACCATATAAAGAAGAAAATGCACAACCATTTAAAATCAATAGTGATATACAAACTATTTTTAATTATGTATTATTTTAATTATAATATTATAAAACTGTAGTTTGGTTATAATTTATAAAATTATTGAATTATTAATCCATAAAATTTTTTCATTATATTAGAATTATATATTTATAAAGTAATTTAATTTATTGGATGATAAAAAAAATTACTTCGTTTAGAATAATATTTTTTATTGTTATTAGTTATTCGAATGTATTTATACATATTTAATTATTATTTTTATTGTTAAAAGTTTTAATAAGTATATATATTCTTAAATATAAGAAATATTGCTTTATTTATTTAATAAATTTAAAAAAATGCTAATATATTTTCACCAATTATTTATATCAAATTATTATCTATCTGTATATTTTATTTTACTATACTAATAACTAGTATATATTCTTTTTAATATTTGTATAATATTTGTATATATATATATATATATATATATATATATATATATATATATATATATATGGATAATCTATAATTTTATATATTATGTCCTTGTTAAACTAAATTATAAGAAATATTGTTTATTAACTTATAGTTTATATTTTTAATTTGATTTATTGAAAATTATTATTTTTAATTTATTTAAAATACTTATGAAAAAATTAAATAATATATTAGATGTAAAAAATAATTACATATATAATTATTTAATTAATATTTTTTTATAATAAATATATATAAATTTTCTAAAATATGTTAAAATTAAATTCATTAATTTTTGTATTTTTTATTTATTTAATCTATATTAAGAATAATTAAATTTTAATTTAAAATTAAATAAATTTGCAAAAGCATTATTTTTTAAAAAAAATTAAATTTTTTTATTAAAAAATAAAAATGATAATATAATTATTATTTATAATTTTTAAAAAAGCAGTTATAATATGAAATACATTAATAAAAAATTATAAAAATGTTTTTTTTTTTGAATTTAAATTTATATTTATTTTATATTTTTTATTATTCATTATTCATCTATAGTATCTTTTACACCTTTAGTATATCCTGTAGGATATAATAATTTTTATAATCTATCATGTTATATTTTTTAGTCACAATCTTCATAATATATATATATATATATATATATATATATATATATATATATATATATATATTTATATATATAATATTTCAATAAATAATACCATGAAGTCTATATACATTAAGATCTCCAACAGTATCTCCTGTAATAATAACAGGCGCTCCTGAACCAAATCTAACAATAGTTTTAGGTGCTGAATTTTCATTTTCTTTATTATCCTTGATAACTGCGCAAGGATCAAGCATATTGTTTTTAGCTATATCCCACAATTCCATTCTTCCATCCTTAGCTACACTAGCAAATAAAGTCGAACAATTTGGACTCCATTCAACGTCTAAAACTTCATTAAATAAATCTAATGACTATAAAAATATTAAAAATATGTGTATTTTAGAAAAAATTTAAAATGTAAAATTATACAAAAGAATATATATATATATATATATATAATAAAAAATGAATATAAATAAAATTACTTAAAATGTGCTTATAGGTAATTCTTCTTTAATATTCCACAATTTACAACTCCAATCAGCTGAACAACTCAAGAAAATATCAGACCAAAACGGATTAAATCTAACTTTATATACTGGCCCAGTATGTGCAAAATAGCTTTCCAAATATTACTCTGAATAATTTTTAGAACATCTATGAATAGCTCCATCATCAGTAGCTGCTAAATAAGTAGAATACTCTCCTTTAATAAAATCTATAGAAAAACCAGAAGCTTGTCTAAAATTAGTGCCTTCATTCGACTATTCCTTACTGGCAGGGTTCTAGGCTTTTTTTAAGCCCATTAATTCTAGATTTTCAAGTTCTTTTTTCATGTTCCATTCCACAATACGCCCATCTGAACTTATACTGACCAAAGATTCTCCCTTTTCGGAGCCTTTATTACCTTTTCCAATCCAACTTAATTCCCATATAGCATCACTGTGTTTTCCTTCTGTTTCCCGATTTGTAGCTACTGGTTGGTTTCCATGTTTTCTTATATCGTATATTGATACTATACCATCATAGCTTCCTGTAGCTAATAAATTAGGATTTTAATCAGAAAATTTACAGCAGGTTAATTCTAATTTATAAGATATAATAATATATATATATAATTTTACTTGAATTTGTTTTAATAATTCTTTCTGGATATGAAGGATTTTTGAGAGTCCAGAACATAACTAGTCCATTATTATTAATATTAAGATCTAATTCTCCATAAGTGGTAGCTAAGAGATCTTTATTAATAGGATTCCAATCAGCGCACGAAATAGTTCTATCTCTTGATTATTCGCATGAAAATTTAAATAAGTATTCTAAAGTATCTTTTTTTTTTTAATTTTATTCTTCATCTTCTCCATCCTTTTCTTTTTATTTTTTCGTGAATAACATTTACCCGAATTTCTTATTTATTTCATCGTCAACCCTTTTATAGAATTTTACTTCAGGATAATTTCTATATAAAATATATTATTTATGGTATGTATTTTAATTCAATATCCTATCTACATATTTCAAATATGTCCCCAAACAATCAGTTGTCATTATTTTTTACTCATCATCATCTATATATATATATATATACATATTTAATTAATTTATTGTTTCGTTTTGTTTAATATACTAGGCTATTTTTTAGCTTCTTCTACTCTTTATTTAATCATTTCAGCTTCTTCTTCTTCTAATTAGGCTATCGATTACTAATGTTATCTTATTAAAATTTCATGCTAAGCTTTGCTAATAGTACCTGCTCCATATGTTTTAGTTGCGAAACTATGAGTTTCAAACTATCTTTTCATTTTAGTACCTGATAAACTTTTTTAAATAAAAATTTAGGAATATAAAATTTAAAATAATAAAAAATATTAATATAATAAATTATTATAAATACAAATAGAATAATTAAAATGAATAATATATATAAATATTATAAAAAAAATATTTAAAATCAAAATATATAATATACTCAGCTAATCTAGATGAAGATTCTCTAGGATTTGTATCATCTGAAAGAGCATTAGCAGCTGAATTATTATTAACAGATTAAGTTAATCCTAGTCTATTACCTTTGACTTGATTTTTTTCTAATAATAACAGCTAAGCTCCTGGAACTTCGGCTCTGGAGTGTAATTAAATAGATTATACATCAAGAGGAAGCAGACAAAAAGGATTTTTTACACTTTTTTTATATTCAAGTTCAATATTTTTTAATATTTCTTGTTATAATAATTCAAATTCGTTTAATTATTCTTATTATTAAGCATCATATATGTCCCAAACAGCTGCAAAAACTCCTTTCTCGGACTTTTCAATCCTATTAGATTATTAAGTTTATAATTTGGGAGCATATTTAAATGTTTGAGCAGATCTTTTAGTAAAATTATCACTACCAACTATATCTTAACAATGTTAATCGTATTTTTAATTTCTTTAATTCATCTTTTCGGTTGTTTCATTTTAAGCACTTAATACATTAGGAATTAAGCATGAAGGACTAATAAAAATTATTTTTTATTTTTTATATTTTTTAAATTTTATACATAAATAATAAAATTTCAGTTTCTGATTCTTATAAATTGATAAGTATATCAACTTCTTTTTAATTTTCACTAATTTATTTGGCTTTTTTAACTTTTTTTTCTTTTTCTTCTCTTGCTTTCTAATTATATTTTTATACATATATATAAAAAAAAATATATTATAAATATAAATAACTATATATATATATATATATATATACATATATATATTTATATATTTTATTTAATATTTATATTTAGATATCTCTTTTTTTTTACATTATCTTCTTCTGATTCTGAATATTATTCAGATCTTCTACTACTTTCCATCATAGAAGATTCTTTTATATTTGAACTACTTTCTTTTTCTTCACTTTCAGAATTTTTTTCCTTTTTTTATATTAATAAATTGTTTTTTATTTTAAAATAAATTATATATATTCTTACCACACTTTACATTACACTTGATGATTATTCCATTATTGAAACTTATGGTTTAAAAGATTATTTGGCTTTTTTTTATTTTTAAGCTAATTCTTATTCAAAATTTTAAAATTCTTTAGCCAAATCTTTCATTTTTTTAGTAATCAATCTTTTATTTTAAAAATAAATAAATAATTATTTGCACATTATATATATTTTTTTTTAAAATATATACATTTTCGGTGTAACATATATACTTCCTTCTTTTACATATTCATTATCTCTTTCAGATGTAGTTGATTTTAGTTTGGAATTTTATACACGCGATTTCGCTACACTATTTAATTTGTTAGTATTTCCTGACATTAATTTTCGACTGTTTTATTTTTTTTAAAAAAATCATATTTATGTTTTGTTTTAAAATGTACGTCATTGTTGGACCTGCTCGGGCAGTACTTTGAACTTTTTAACTCATTTAAATCTTTGTATTTGTATTTCCGGCAATTAATGATTATTACTGTTATTAAGATTAATCCATTTATATAGTTTTTTATTTAAACAAAAAATAAAGATTAATTAAAATTATAAATATTTATTATTATTTAATATTATTTTGAAAAAAAAAATAAAACAATTTTTAAATATTTTTTATTAATATTTATACAAAAGATAGATAGTTTTATTTTATTTATTATTATACTTACAAAATATAGTTATTTATTTATATTTTTATAATTAAAGAATTATTAGAATTATATCAAAATAATAATAATTTATTATTAAATTTATTTTATTAGTTTATTTATCTATTTTTATAAAAAAAACATTAATAAATGTTAAACGAAATAAAACTAAATTTATTGAATATACTTCACTCTAATCATATTTTTAGATATTTTAGCTTTTATCTTATTTTACTTTTTTAAATTCCTGAAATAATAAGTTAAATATTTAGCTAATAATCCTTATTTTAATTAAATATAATTCTTATTATAATAATGTTCGTATTAAACATAATAACATTATTATTCAATATTCTATCTAATAACAACAATAAAATTATCAATTTAATTCAAATAGTTCTTTCATTATTAAGCTTTGAGCTTTTTATTTAAACTTAATTAAATTATCAATACTATTGTCTCTTTTTTTTGATAATCCAGAAATATTATTTGAACTGTTAAAAAATACTTCTTAAATTAATAGCATTGTTTTTTATTCAAACATATTGCACTTTTAGATTGATTACTTTTTTTAAATAGTCTTATAACTTTTTTCTATTAAATATTTTTGCATTTATACTCATAAATTAAATTAAAATATAAAAAAGTGCGGAAATAAAAAATAAAAGTAAACTTTAACTAAATTTAAGTTCTTAAACAAATCAAAATTACGAAAATCAAACTATAGTTGAAAATATAAACGAAAATATTCTTAATTCAATTGATATTTAAAATCATACTAGATAAAAAGAGATTAATATTCCCAAAATCAAGCAAAATTATTCATTTTATACATTTATTGATAAAAATATTGAAAAAAATTTAAATAAAGTAGAATAAAAATCACCTGCAATAAAATTAAATGAAAAATAGAATAAAAAAATACTGAAAAATTTCAAAAGTTAACATTTTTTAAAAGAGAAATAAAATATATTATATAACAGTATTCCCAATTTATTAAATTCTGCAATAATTATTATAGACAATAAATATTAAATAGTATACACAAATAAAAATTTAAAAAAGTTCTTTGATTTTTAAACAGATAAATAATTGTTAGATTAAATTTTAGGATTAAGTCTTTTAAGACAATCATAATAAAAAAAAAAAAATATGAAATCTTAATTCAATAAATTCTCTTCCATTTAAAGCAGTAAATTTGAAAATTAGCATTCTTACTTAGATAAATTAATTAATGACAAAAAAGAATATAAAAATTCGTCTTAAATTCCATCCTAAAATACTTTTTATTTAAACAATTCATTTAAAAAATGTTTTATTCCTCCTTCCATAATAGAGAATTTGAATATCGATGAATCCTATATAGGTGGTTTAATTGATTAAATTTTAAAATTAAATACATAATAAACTTGCAAGACCTTAAATTATAGCAAAAGTTCCAGAATCTCTATTGAAAATAATAAAGATAAGATAAAACTTGACAAAAATAACAACGATATATTTTATTATATTGAACAAAACTACGTAGTAATAAATATATTTTCTAAAAAATCCAAAATCGAGCATATGCAAATAAAGCTTGGATATTTCTAGTTCTAAAACAACTTCAAATATTAAAAATGCATCCTCATAGAAATCTAAAACATGAACGAGTAGTATATACAATTCTAAAAAAAAGGCCTTAAAATATATAAAAATAGGATGCTATGTTCTCTTTCACATGAATTAAAGACTCCTTTAAATTTAAGTATTACTCTATTAGAATATTTATAGTAAAATAAATTGGCAAATGATGAAGTTTAAGAATAAATAATTTCTCCATCTTTAAATTCAAATAAATTATTACTAAATGTAGTTAATGATTGCCTTGATTATGCTTAGATTTGCTTAGGGAAATTCTAGATTAAGTTTTAGTAATTTTCAATTTTATAATTAATATAGGAATGTGTTGAATTGGTTAAGTTTTAGGCTTTTTAAAAAGGAATTAATATAAAAACTTTTTTTGATGATTGTTTACCGAAAGATATTAATTCTGACCCTTCCAGATTAAAATAGATAATACTAAATTTATTAACTAATTCTATTAGATTTACCGAAAAAGGCAATATTAAAATTTCCACAAAATCATTACCTGAAAATCTAATTAGAATAGAAGTATAAGATACTGGATGTGGAATTACAAAGAATTAAATTACTAAAATATTAAACTCTTTTGGCAATATTAATAACTAAAATGCTTTAAATACATAAAATGCAGGTTTTGGATTAAGTATAAGCAATATATTAGCTAAAGGGTTAGGTTAAGGGCGGAAAATAGAAATAAAAAGTGAACTTAATGTAGGTTCTAGTTTTATTTTTTATATAATTGATTACCCTAGTAATTTAAAAGGATTTAAATATAATGAAAAACAAATTTTCGGAATTGATATTGATAAATGGTTTAATTTGGATAATGCGTCTTTTTATTAAAATAAATCATAAGAAACTTTAGAAAATTAAATAATTACAGACGCTTATTCCTAAGAAAAATCTACATATTTTAATCCAAAAGATTACGAGGATAATTATACGGAGGAAAATATACATGAAAATTCATAAGAATTTAAAAATGAACCAAATAGTAGTTTAGCAAAATAAAAAATGAGTAATTATATTTTATATAAATAAAATAATATTAATTATAACAATAAATACTATTCAAAGAATTTATGTAAAAATTGCTCTTGTATTTTAATCGTGGACGATGTTTAATTTAATTGTTATGTTTTGAAGTTAAAATTAGATTAATATGGGTTTAAATGTGAAATAGCAAATAGTGGAATGGGAGGAATATAAAAAGTGTAGGAAAAATTTAAAAGTTAATGTTGTAAAAAATTCCATTTAATTTTTATGGATATTGATATGCCAGGAAAAAATGGACTATAAACTACTTAAGACATTATTTAATTTTATAAGTCTATGCAAACTACTGCTTGTGTTATTTCGGCTTATAGTGCTTTTGTTGGATAAATTGATAAATAAAATGCTTTTGATAGTGGAATGTAATATTATATTACTAAGCCTTTATAATAAAAAGATTTAGAAACTATATTAAATTAGGTCTTTTTATGATAGTTATTTATAATACTTTTTTTAATTTGTATATGAATTTATAAATATATATATAAGTTTAAATTAATGTTTTTTTAAAAAAAAAATAATAATAATTTCAAATAAAATTAAATTATAAAAGATTTTCAAACAATTTAATATGGTTTATATATATTTATTAATTAAAAAAAAGCTAATTTTTTATTAGTTAGATATTAATTAAAAACTATAAGAAATCATTTTTTTTCAATTAATTTTAATTAAATTATCCAAGAAATAAATAATATTTTTATAAAAATATTAATAATGTTATTTTAGTGCATTTTATATCATATATGTTTAAATTAAATTAATCATTTATTTATGTTTAAAGAATTAGATTTATTTAAACATCCATAACATTAACATAATTTATTACAAAAATAATTATTTATAAAGCAATCACAATATTTTTTTTTGCATTAAGACTTTTTACAATTACAGTTTCTTTGGTTTAAATCTTAATTATTTTATCTAATCATATTTTTAGAGCTATTCGTATCCTTAAAACTCCTATTTAAACAATCTAAACATTTACAAAGCTCACTACACAATTCTCCCCTTTCAAAACATTCGCAATATAATTTCTAACATTATGATCTTTTACATTTACAAGGAATATCTGAAATATTTTTTTTTTTTTCAATTTCTATTACTTAATTTTTTTATTAATTTTAAATCTCTTCGCATTTTTTGTTTTTAATAATATTCTTATTAGTCCTTTTTAACTTTATTTTTTTAACACTTTTAGCTTATTTTAGAATATATTTATCAACTATTTTCTATGATTTTAACGAAAAGGGACTTTTTATAGAAAGCATTATATACTCTCTAACATTTAAAGCATAATTTATATTCTTCTTAGTATTAATTAAGATTTTTTTATTTTATTTGATTCTTTAAGTTTACACTTATTAAAATAAATTATTAAAAGGTCTAAAATCTAATTAAAATTCACAAATATAAATAAAATAATAAATAAATAAAAAAATAGTAAATAAATCCATTTAAAAATTAAAAAAAAAAAATATTAAACTTTTGCTATATTTTTCAGTCTGTTTTTAATAATCTGTATCTAATTAATTATTCTAATTTATATTCTCTATTAATAAAATTTTATCTTTTTAATTATATGTATATTTTTTAGTTATTTTTTTTAGAAATATTAATAACTTCTATCTGCTTAGTCTGTTTTATTTAAATCAAATATTTAATCTTATGATCTAATTTAAATTTATTAAAATATTTAACTTTTTTATTTATTTTTATAATAAAAAATAATCTTTTTTTATTTTCATTTTTAAATAATAACTTATCATATAAATACTAAATATTATTATTCATGCTTGAAATAGGCGAAATTTGATTTTCATAATAAAATTTACTAATTTCATTTTATTCCATATTTCTTTCTTCTTTTTTTTTGTATTGTTTTTTGTAGAATAATAAAAAATCTATTTTATTATTATAAAATATTAAAATTAACAAAATATTACTTAAAAATATAATTAAATAAAAAACTCTAATTTATTTAATAAATAATATTATTATAATTATTTTAATTTATTATGAAATAATTTAATATTAAATTCTAATTATGTTTATTTTAATTACAAAATATTATATAAATGAACAATTTAACATTATAATTCTTTTTATTTAATATTTCCAAAATATGATCTCTTAATAATAAAGTAGTACAATATATAAAAAATATAATTGAAATATTGATGAAAAATATACAATTTTTTTAATCGATAAATATTTTTTATAAATTTAATATGTTATATAAAAAAAAAGATATTAAAAATATTTCTAATATTAAAATAAGAATTTTATTAAAAAACTAAATAAATATAAATTTCATATTTTTATAAATAAAATACTAATAAATAATCTCTATATATTAATCATTAATTTTTTTTTTTTTGATTAATCTTTAATATTAATAAAAAATATATTTTTAATCAAAATCTTCTAGTTTTACAGGAGGTAAATCAATATCAAAATTATCTTAAAATTCATTTTCTTATATTTCTTATATACTAAATAAATTATAAAAATAAATATAAAAAAATATAAAAATAATACTCATTATTAATCGAAATAATATCTTTATTATCATTATTATTTTAACTTTATGAAGAACTTTTTTTACTAATAATATTTAGATTATAAAAATTATTATTATTATTATCATTTAGCCTATTAATTATTAGATTAAGCATTTCTTTAATTTCAGTATAATTATTATCATAATCATTCTTTCCTTAATAAATAATATCATTTACTTTTTGCTAACACTGCAATTTATTCAAACATCTAATTTAATTTTTTTATAATAGATAAGCTTCTTATTTTTTTTATTTTTCATCTTCCTTATAATTTTAATTTTCCTATAACTAAATATTGTTTATTTAAAGGTTTTAAGATTAAGCACTTATTCGGTTATAATTTTGACTTTAAAATAGTTTGTTTATATAATAAGCAGACTAATTTTTATCATAATGTAAATCAAAATGTTATTATTATCTTTTCAATTATTCCTTCTAAACCTTTAGTTTTTCATTTTAAAAAACACTCATACCTCTCCCTAAAGCCTAGGCATCATATATTATCCTTATATCCTGTTCTTATTAATTTATTGAATTATTACTTTTTAAAGTGCTAAAGCTTTATTAATATTTATTATTTTCTAATTCTTAGAAATTATCTACTTCTTCTTCCTCTTCTTCTTCTGAAATATAATCTTCAAGTTAAGTTAGTTTTTAATATTAATCTTTATGTTATTTTTATTTTTAAATGACGGCTTTTTTCATTTACAATCTTATGCATTAACTTGTTATATGATTTTATTTTTCACACAAAAAACATTTTAAATTAAATAATTAATAATCTTTTTCATATATCATTAATTATTTTAATTCAATAAATGTTTTCTATTTTAAAAAAAATTATTTTTTAAAAATATATATATATATATTTTTACATAATCTTAAGGAAAATTCTTAATAATATTAATAAATTTATTCTTAGAAATTATAAAAACATTCGAAAAACTTAAAGACCTAGCATTTTCTAGCCTTTTTTCTCCTGTAAAAAATTCATATAATCCCAAAAAATTCCCACTTTTAATGGCTTGAATAGGAATTCCTTAACCATCATTATAATTAGGAAGATCATAAAAAATTTAAATTTCTCCATCATCAACATAATATAGAAAAGCATCATCCTCTTATTCAGATTATTCCTTTTATTTATAAATATTATAATTATAAATGTTTTAATTTATTAACAAAAATATACTTAATAAATAATATCATCTTCAAAATACTTTATTTCTTTGATTTCAAAAGATAGAGCAGACAAAAATTATTCCGAAAAAAACTAAGACCACTTATGATTTTTAAAAAAGAAAGAATTACTCTCAAACATCAATTTATTCCTCAAATTTAAAGGTAAAGTTTAAATAATATTATGTTCGAGTTTTTTATCCCTTGATTTCTCGTCTTTCCATTGAAAATCTAAAAAAGCATTGATTTTTGTCTATAAATTCTTGTTTATTTACTTATCTCTCATATATCTATTAATAGCATTTATATAAGACCTTTTTTTTTAATTTGAAAAAATTATAAATATTTATATAAAAATACTGATATTTAATATCTCCAGTAGATACTTCGGAAATAATATACCAAATACTGTTAATAGAATAAGCAAATATTATACAAGACATTAACATACAAATAAGGGTAATAATAACTTCCATAGGAGCCACAGGTGTTACATCTCCATATCCTACAGAAATCATAGTAGTAACACTCCAATATAAAGCATATTCATAATAAATTATAGTATCAAGTTCTATTAAAGGGCTTATTTTAGAAAACCAGCAACCTGCTTTTCCATATTATTCTTGTTCATGTAAACCTATTCTATAGAAAATACAAGCGAAAAAGTTCGATATAAGCATTACAATAGCACTTAATCTTAATAATTAATAAGCTGCTTTTCTATTTAAATATGTATATATTTTTTATTATTATATATACATATATTTTTTACGTTTTCCTATTTAGTTAAAGATATTTGATTATAACTGCATTAAAATTCAAAATATTAAAAATTCTAAAATAAAAAAGTAAGCATAAATAATATTAAAAGTATATTGTATGATTATTTTTTCTTATAGTATTCAATATTAATCCTAAAATTCCCAAAAAATCAGTCAAAAAATGTCCATCGTAAACTTTCCTTATATAATTTCTACAAATAAGAATTCTATCTTTTATAAGTGTTCCTTTCGAATAAAATCCGACATTAAATCTGATAAAAAAATCAACTATAAAAATTCCAATAATGGAATATAATCTAAAAATGTCTCCAGATTAATCATTTATCAAATAAACAGAGAAGAAAAGTTCAATAGGAATAATAAAAAAAATACACAAAGTAACTAAAAAAACTAGAAACTCCCATGCGAGTAGATATCTATTATCAGGTTCTAATACAGGAATATTTTTATAATATTTCATTAAAAAATCCAATTGATAATTATTTGAATCTCAAAATAATAAATATATGTAAAAATTTATAATTTTTATATATAAATATATATAATATATATATATATATATATATATATATATATATATATTTACTTAAATATTTACTATTTATAGTTAAATTATATAATGATTTATATATTCTATCATTTTTTAAATATATCTATCTTTTATTAAATAATATTCTTTAACTTTTGTTTTATCTTCGTTGCTTTTATGTTTAGTTATTAAAATTTTCAAGTTTGGATTAAAAACTTGATTTTACATATGAAAGGTGTGATTCTAAATCTTAATCATCTAATAGTTAGACATGAAGATGTTTAGCGTTAGAGGAAGGGTATTTATTATATTAATTAATCATAATTAAATTATGTATAAATTTATATTTTTTTGAATTAATAATTAATCATTTTATAAATAAAAAATAAATATAATTAAAAGAAGTAGAAATTATAAGATAAAAATATCTTTTGAATATAAATATAAATTAAAACGATATTTTTTATATAATATCAAAAATAAAAATATTTTGAAATAAATAATTATAGACTATTTATATAAGTAATATGCATGTATTATTACTAAAATTCATTTAAAAATCATACTATTATACAAGCTTCGTATAAAAATATTTTAATTCAGATTTTAATGCATATTTTCTTTATCTATTTAACTCACAGTATTTTATTTATTATTAATTAAAAAATTTCTTTAGTACGTAATTATCATTTTTTAGATGGCATATCAATACCCATAAAAAAAAAAGTAAATAAATAAATAAAAAAAAAAGAAAAGCAAAGCAAAGCAAAGCAAAAAACAAAATAGAATAAAATAAAAAAAAAACAAAAACAAAAACAAAATAAAATAAAATAAAATCAAAAGAAAAAGAAAAAAGTATAAAAAAAAATAAAAATAAAAAAAAAATTAATAAAAAAAAAAAAAAAAAAAAATTAAAATAATTTAAAAATAATTTAAATATAAATATAAATTCAAAAAAAAAAAAAAAAAAAAAAAAAAAAATAGATAAAAAAATTTATAAAATAAAAATAATTTAGAAAAAAAATAATAATAATAAAAAAATAAAAATAATTTTTTTTTATATTTTATAATATATATTATTATAATATTTTTATTTAACTTTTTTTAAAACTTATTAAAATACTCCTCCACTATTATTTTTCAACATCCTAAAAATAATTAAACTATATATCACCCACAATTAAAACACGTTAAAACACCAGAAGTAAAAAACATAAATTTTTCTATAAATATTATTTTACCTTTTATTTTATTTAAAAATTATATTTATACATCTTCCCAATTCATTTAAATATATCTAACAAATATTATTTACTTTTTGTATTAATTATTATATATTCATTTTTATTACTTCTGCAACATTTATAAGTTGTAATTTTTTTATTTTTATTTTTTGTAAATTTTAATTATTAATTTAATACTTGCTTTTAAAATACCATTATCATTTGTAGTCTCCATCTTATTTTAACATAATTAATTTTTAATAGATTTAATGTTTAATAATTATATCCGCACTAGTTTAATTCATGCAATTCCTCTATTATAATTTTACACTTATAGTACCAATATTATTCCAAATAGTGTAATCAATTCCAGAAACATTTATTTCATTAAGCTATATAAAAAGTTAAATACGAATCTTTATTTATTTAACTTTTTATTTTTATTTTTCTCCATTAACCTAATCCTTTTATTAAAATATTACTTATATTCAAACCTAAGCTTACTTTTATATGTATTTAATTTTTAATAGTCTATATTTCCAAAACAATTTAATATGTTGGCTATACATTTCCGGCAGCTTCTATTTCTATTCTGATTATATTTTACACTTAAAATTTTCGTCCTAAATATATATCTATTCCTCTTCAGTAAATCCAACTGAATTAGTTAATAAACATACTATTATCTGCTTCAATCTGGATTTTCGATTAAATAATCATCGAAAAAAAAATATATATTTATAAATTATAATATTGAAAATTACTAAAACTTAATCAAGAATTTCCCTAAGCATTATCAAGGCAATCATTAAACTACATTTAGTAATAATTTATTTGAATTTAAAGATTGAAAAATTAATTATTATTAAACTTCCTCATTTGCCAATTCTATTATAAATAATTTTAATAGAGTGGTACTTAAATTTAAAGAAACCTTTAATTTATGTGAAAGAGGACATAAAATCCTATTTTTATATATTTTAAGGCCTTTTTTTTAGAATCATATATATTATTTGTTTATGTTTTATATTTCTATGAGAATATGTTTCTTATATTTAGGTATAAAATAAAACCAATTTTAATTTAAAGGTTTTAATTTTTGGAATATATTCGAATATTATGATAAGTTTGTTTAATATAGTAAAATATATTTATATTTAATTGTTTTTTGGCTTTTGAAACTTTCTATATTATTTGATTAAATAAGTTAATACTTACTAGAATTTACTTTGAAAATCTAAACATCTAATCACCTAAAAATATTATTTTTTCATTAATTATTTCATTTAAATTTGGAAGGAGGAAATAATTTTTTTTTGAAATTATATTTGGTTATACTTGAATCAAATTAAGTTTAAACATTACTAATATCATTAGAAGTTTAATTTTAAATTGAATTATATTATTTAGATATACTTTTGGTTTAAAATTATGCTTATTTTACTTTATTTAAAGTTTGAAGTTTAACAATTATTAAAAATACTGGAGTTTACATTTAATTCAAAATTAAAATTTAAAATCATTGATTTTCATTATAAAATAAAAAAAAATGTATATTAAGTTGTAATTTTTTAGATTTATATTTATATTTTAATTGAACAACAAAATTTCAGAATTTAATAGATTAAGTAAAAAATTTTTAAGATTAAATATTGAATTTTAAAAGATAAAATAAAGAATATTTAGAATTAAAAAAGTTCTCATAATAAATTTAGCTTTATTTTAATAAAGAGTTATTTTTTTATTAGTTAATTTCTTTTGATAGACTATTTATTCAGTTTAGGATTTCTATATTATTGTTAATTTGTGTATTAATTAATTTTAATATTATTTTTTAATTTTTTATAATTATATTTATTCTGATTAGTATTTCTTTTTATTATAATTTATTTTAAACTTTTTATTTATAAAAGTAGATAAAAATCATACCAATTAAAGAAAGTATTAAAATATTAATCAGTATTGTTATAATATATAAATAAACAAATAAATAATAAAAAATGTATTAATTATTTTTATTATTAAATGAAAATATTTTAAATTATTTAAACACGGAGCAAAAATACCGTAAAATTGGAACTATTTTAAAAAACTTTTAAAAACAATGATTAGATTGTTTTTTATTGGACTCTTTATATTTTTTTATATTCTATTTCGCATTTAAATAATAATAGAAAAATTAGTTAATAATCCAAATAAATTCTTCCATTTAAATTAATTAATATATAATTTTTAAAAAATTTAAAGGATATAAAATTATAACATAATAGAAATTACTTTATATGTTAATTGTTAATTAATTTAATAAATACATTTATTAGTATAAATACAGATATTAAGTTAATATGAAATAATAAATAAAAATGTTAAAATAATAATAAATAAAAATGTTTATATTTATTTATAAAAATAGATGATTAATCAATAAAATATATTTTAATATACTTATTATATATATAATAATAATTAAAACTTTTATTATTATAATATTTTAAGTATTATTTATTTATAAATATATTAATTTCTAAACTATACTTATAAATTTTACAAATTAGAATTTACTTATTCATTTATTAATTTGCTATATTATCTTTAACATTATAATTAAATATTTATATTAACAAAATGTATATATATATATTAATATATAAAAAGTAATATAAATATTATTTTGACTTATAAAAATCATTTTTTTTAAAAAAAATATTTTTTTAACAAAAAATATAAATTTATATATTATTCTTAAAAATAAAAAATATGTTTAATGAAATTGAAGTTCCTATAATTATCCAATACAAAATATTTAGTCGACATTTTATAATTAGGCCTACATTTTTCACATTTTTCGAAAAAAAAATCTTTTCAATATTAAACATAGGAATATCTATATAAAACATCAACTATTCAAATGAAGAAATAATTTTATTTTAAAAAATAGAATAATTGGAGTATATTCCTGAAAAAGAAAACGAATTTTTGTTGATATATTCAAACGAAAAGCAACCTAAAGTCGAATTATAATTTCAAACAGAAGAAAAAGTTAATTTATTATCCGAATTTTATCGTGCTTAAGATCTACACAAACATAAGGATTTGCCCAAAACAAATTTAAATTTATTAATAAAAAGTAAAGAAATAATACCTCCAGTATATTTTTTAGAAATAGAGGCTTAATATTTACTTGACAAATAGACCAGAAGTTCATTTCTTTGTAAAATTTAATGTTTTAGGACTTTTTTAGAAATTGAAATTTAGCAAATTTCATACTTATGTGAGCAAAAATTCAAATAAATGAAAGATGAAAATTCTGAATAAATCAAATAAATTGAATAAATATATTATAAAGATATAAATTAAATCACAAAAAAAGAAAATGGCTTCGAAATTCTATATAACAACTAAAATTTTGCCATTTCTTTTTATTTAAACGATCTAAATAAAGTTAATTCCTTTATAGAAAAAGTCTCTAAAATACTTTAGAATACTTAAATTTAAATATCTAAATAACTATAAACTTATAAGAAGAAATTTAACATTTTATCAAATTTCCAATTGAAAAATCTCATTTTTTGACTTCTCGATTAACTGTTATAGACTTTTTTAACACGAAAACACTCTAAGATAAACTACGTTATGCCTTGGAGAAAAAGGCGCTTTCGAATTGGATATGATAGATGGTGAATTATATGCTTAATATAACATTTCTCATATAAAAGATATAGTAAGATGTTTAGAAAGGCAAAGGATTATCATTTTATTTTAGGATGGAGGTTAAATAGAGTATTTTTTGGAAGCTTTTTAACGAGATACATTAATTGTGGAATTAATGTTTAACTAGTTTTGTTATTTTAAGTAAAATACAATTTTTTTACACTCAGAAATTCCATTTTATTATTTGGAGGTGTAAGGAGTTGGAAAATATAAAGATGAAGTCGAATTGGAAATTATAAAAAGACTGAATAATTAGACTAAAAATAATGCTGAGTTATTATATAAATTAAAGGAGTTCAATGTAAATTGCGATTTGAAAAATTAAAACGATTTAAATGATTTTAAACTTTTTGAATTTATTTTAGAAAGATTAGCTGAATAAATTAAT